ATCTCGGCTCACCGCAACCTCCGCCTCCTGGGTTCAGGCAATTCTCCTGCCTCAGCCTCCTGAGTAGCTGGGATTACAGGCACGCACCACCATGCCCAGCTGATTTTTTGTAGTTTTAGTAGAGACGAGGTTTCACTGTGTTGACCAGGATGGTCTCGATCTCTTGACCTCGTGATCCACCCGCCTCGGCCTCCCAAAGTGCTGGGATTACAAGCGTGAGCCACCGCGCCCGGCCTTTGTTTGTTTTTCTGAGACAGAGTTTCGCTCTTGTCGCCCAGGCTGGAGTGCAATGGCACAATATCTCTGCTCACTGCAACCTCCGTCTCCCAGGTTCAAGCGATTCTCCTGCCTCAACCTCCCGAGTGACCGGGATTACAGTCATGTGCCACCACGCCCAGCTAATTTTGTATTTTTAGTAGAGAGGGGGTTTCTCCATGTTGGTCAGGCTGGTCTCGAACTCCCGACCTCAGGTGATCCACCCGCTTTAACCTCCCAAAGTGCTGGGATTACAGGTATGAGCCACCTTGCCCTGCTGGGGTTCTGAAATTTCTACAAAATCAAGGATTAGGGACTGTGTTCAGTGTAGGTGGGGGGGTCGGGAGGCTGGTCTTGAACCTTTGTCTACACAGCGAACACTTTGCTTGCTGTTACATGGGATGTTGGGGGGAACCTGCACAAGATCCCCGAGTTCTCCCTGGGTCACTGCCACTGTCCTGCCCCTAGGGGGCAAAAATCTTAGTCAAGGAGAAGGCAAACAAGGAATTTTTGTTTGTTTGTTTGAGACAGAGTCTTGCTCTGTTACCCAGGCTGGAGTGCAGTGGTGTGATCTCAGCTCACTGCAACCTCCACCTGTTGGGCTCAAGCGATTCTCCTGCCTCAGCCTCCTGAGTAGCTGGGATTACAGGTGCCCTCCTCCTAGCCTAGCTTATTTTTGTATTTTTAGTGGAGACGGGATTTCACCATGTTGGCCAGGGTGGTCTGGAACTCCCAACCTCAGGTGATCTGCCCATCTCGGCCTTTCAAAGTGCTGGGGTTACAGGCATGAGCCACTGTGCCTGGCCAGGAATATTTTTTAAGTTTGAAACCAATTTCTGCATTCATATCCTTTCTATGCAGGCATGAGAAACCATTTTTCTTTCTCTTTCTTTCTCCTTTCTTTCTCTCTCTCCCTCTCTCTATGTCTCTCTTTCTGTCTGCCTGTCTGTGTCTTTCTCTCTTTCTTTATTAAATAGAGATGGGGTCTCACTATATTGTCCAGGCTGGCTTAGAACTCCTGGACTTAGCTGGGCGCGGCGGCTCAAGCCTGTAATCCCAGCACTTTGGGAGGCCGAGGCGGGTGGATCACGAGGTCAAGAGATTGAGACCATCCTGGTCAACATGGTGAAACCCCGTCTCTACTAAAAATA